AGTTTCCAGACCAGCTAGTTTCTTACCTTCTTCACAGATATGTAATATTTTGCAGTTTTTTTCTGGATCAAATTGGTGCTTAGTTTCAGTAATGTGGGATGCAAAGGTTAAATCCATTTTCCTAAATTTCCAGCTTCTGGAATGTTCTTTAATTCTTATTTGTATGGAATGTCCTGTTTTACCTATATATACACTATTGCAGTTCTGACATGTTAATTGGTAAAGGCCACTGTTGCTGTACTTTTCGATTCCATCTTTGTTGTTTAACAATATTTTTCCTTGGTTGTTTTTACAGTAGAAGGCCAGTCCGTAGATTTCTTTGTTCAGTGTGTTATATATTTTGTGAGAAGGTTTTCCAATGTAGTTCATCTTAAATCATTTCTTTTTCTTTTTATTGTTGTGTGGTACAGTATGTGAGTATATTGATTTTAAATTTATGGCTTTCAATTTTTTAAACAACGTGTTAACTAACTTTTTTACATAACCATTGTTAACATCAATTTGATTTAGAGTTTTTAATTTAGTTTCATAACCTTCAGACAACAAAGGTACAGTGATAAAGCTGTGTAACAAACTATGGAACATGACAAGCTTGTGAGCTACTGGATGTCTTGAAGAAGATCTAACCTATATAAAAGTCAGTTTGTGTCACATCACACTTAATTTCTCGAAATAAGAGGAGTTACAAAAGTCAAAATCATTTATACAGATAGAATAGTTCAATTACTGTCTGCCCATTACGATTTTAGTGACAGGGGCAGAAGGATGCTGTGAGAGGAGGAGGTTTAATAAATTTAAAGTAAAGACATAGTGTGAGATCACTTATCCTAGAGCCAAGTGCATAAAATGTATCATGAAAGTAAAAATATCGATTCAATTTTAAACCTAAACTATTTCTGAATTAAGCTGTTGTCTGTTATATCACCAGCATTTTAAATAAAGAAAACAAATTCTATAATCAATGGTAACTCTTAATTAAGAATTCAACAATTATTTTCATGGTTTTGTTGTCTATACATTTCATTTTATACTTTCAGTACATAGACTAACAACAATATTAAGTTATACTTTCTGTTGCTAATCGACATTACATAAAAGCCATTGGCAGAATCTAGTTACCAAAACGTGCTGGCTTTTCTATATATTAGAAGATGTTAATCTAACTGATGTTAACCAATAATTATTCTATGAATATGCCACAAATTCATTTCATAAATGCTCTTAATTTTGATTGGCTCTCAAAGGAATTTACTGACGTTTGACGGCCTCGGCTACACTTTTTTGCCTCTTTGTTGGTGAAGCTTGAT